TAATGAATCATAATGAATCATTATTTTTCAAAGCGCCACAAAACCTAACCCACCAGGAAAACAAAAAAACATATATCCAAAAAAACATCACCACTGGTGTTCCTCAGTTCTTGTTGTTGACTTTTATTATTCTGTGGGGTGGGCACCTGAACACACTGGGTGGAATAGTTATTGAATCCATCTTGTATCACCACACCAAACCTAAAGACCTTCAGCAACAACCATCCACAATTCTATTCTAAATAGTCACCTGCTGTTGAACCCCCATGGAATAATTTTCAAAATCTGAAAAGCAATGTTGAACAGCAGTTCAGGTTCTGGAACGTTTCTCTGGATCCTTCTTCACATCGGCGGCAGGAGGCGAAATAGCTTTGCCAAGCACAGGTGCAGCTGAGGCAGATCCTTGGCTTCAAAATCTACAAAATCCACACAGGATGTTGCCAAACCATATTCAAAAAAAACAAAGCATACAAAAACATACAAACACAATCAAACACCAATGGAAATCGAGATTCCAGACGATTTCTCTGTCTCTTCCTCCGCAAACGCGGCACGCGCAGAAGCCTGCAGGAATGCTTCAGCCTTCTCATGCTTGAGAGATGCACTTGGCGGGCCCACTCCATCCGCACTGTTGGAAGCTGGCAGCTCAGCAACAGGTTCAACATATCCTTGGACTTGCACAATGTGAATGTGAAAAGAGTTGAAGAGAAATACAGCCTCACAACCCGACATAATCCACAGCAACCCGGGGGTTTTGTTGAATGGCAGACCAAAGTTCCAATTGGATCTCGCCCAGCGCTTTCCTGCTTTCCAGGTGTGGTTGACGCAGAACTTGGTTCTTCAGGAGCTGGTCCTCAGTTCTTGTTCTCTGGTTTATTATTCTGTGGGGTGGGTACCTGAGGGCAGTGGCTAGAATATTTACTGCAAACCACACCAAACCCAATAACTTTATTCAGCAACCATCATCCACAATTTTATTCCAAATAGTCACCGGCTCTCGAACCCCCATGGAATATTATATCAATGTTTTTATCATTTTTATCTATTTACATGTCTTTTGAAAGAAGACATAGAAAAATATGAACACATGTTGAACAGCAGTTTAGATTCTGGAATCTTTCACCGGATCCTTCTTAACATCAGCGGCAGAAGGCAAAGTAGCTTGGTCAGGCGCAGGTGCAGCCGGGGCAGATCCTTGGCTTCAGACATCATGTGTTCCTCCAGTGTCCCATGAAAGGGGTCGCCGGAAACTACTACAGAATTAAAGAAATACTATAAAGTATTCCAATAGTGGCAATCTAGATTCCAGACAAATCCTGTTGCTTCTCGTTCCCGGATGCTGCATCTGTCCCCGTACTCTGAGGCAATCCCATCGGTGCAGGCTCACCCATCGTGAGTGCCAGATCTAGCTCTGCAGTCTCAGAGGTTCCTGGGCTGTGGCCCCAAAACATCATCGGCAAAGGCAACTCATGAGATGAGAAGTGAATCTACGTTTCTGATCGGAACCTCTGTGTTGCACAGCCATTCGAATCAAATTTTGCCCAAAAGAAATCTCAAGGAAACATGAAAAGCACAGATATCATATGTTTTTTTTTTGAAAAGCTTCCTTCCACAGCAAATTTCTTCATTGATTTTGATAAGCATGTTGTGAAGGTCCATCCTGTTGGCTGACGATGAATCCAAACGTGGTGAGATACACGCCTTGCCCCAGTTGTCGTTAATCCATCATTGTCCTGAGTGACCGCGAAAAAAAAAAACCTAAAAATTTTTGGAGATTTTCGATTGGCGTCAACAGATATGAAAGTCAAGGGATCAAAGATACCAAAGCTGAGCTCTTGGTAAACAACATAAAAATAGAAATATTGTAAAACTGACCCAGCGGCGCATACAGCTGTGAACACACCATACTTTTTGTTCCATTCTGGATTGCGTGTCTTTCCTCCACCTGTTGTGGCTCTAGCAAGAACCAATTCCAGTCCTAGATTAAAAGGTTTTTGGGAGGAGTGGTTGGCAAAAAGGATCACTGTAAACCAATCTTTTCTGCGTTAGAGAAAGCAGAATAGAAAACAGCGCCTGTCACCTGCATGCGTAAACAAGACTCAGAACTGCAGCGCAAAACTTCCGCTAAGACACATGTAGGAAGTCCGCAAGATGATGGACACGGAGCCGTAGGCAACGCAGGCGATGTGTCCGATGCCATCACGGATGGTAGCCAGGAATTGGGCGCTGGTGGAACAGCGCTTGAATTAGTCCAACAAGACTTAATACATACATGGGCATCCGGTAGAATCTTTGAGTCCAGTGCTCACATCATGTCAAAAGTCCTGTATTATTTTCTTTATGGGTTTGAAAGTCTATTTTGTACTTGGGCTTGATTAATGCTTATCTTTTCATTTCTTTTCACTTACCTGTTGGCTTGAGACAAGAACAATTGGAGCCATTCAAATCAGATAACTGAACTTCATTCACCGACATGTTATTTTTATTTCTTTTTTATTATTCCAGGGGGGGGTGGGTACATATACGTCAGGCCTCCGTACCAAAAAATTATTCCACTTGAAATTATTCCAAAACAATTATTCCAGTACGTGACCCCCCCCTGGAATAATAAATTAGTGCGCCCCCCATCCTAAAAGTATAAAAGGACCCCCTGATCTTTTTCAGCCATGCTTTTGAAACCCTTGGATGAGGTTCTCTGAAGTTCAATGTTTTCCTGCAAAGTCACAGCGTAGTTCACGGACAGCGGTCAAGTTTCAACAAAAAAACAACAGGTCAGCTAGGATGGAGGGAAGTTTTGTTGCTCACTGTCAGTTGCACCATTACCCAAACAAATCTTAACAAAAAGTTCGTCCTCTGGCCAATCTTGCAACCACTTTCCACCCCTCCTTGGGATTGGGATGACTACAGTGACTACAGGTTTCGCTCGACTACATCAGGAGGTGGAGCTGTTCGATGTGGCTGAGCACAAGCGAAATGCAAGCCAGCAGTGTCCAAGTGTCTGGTGCCGTCCTGCTTCTGAATCACAAAACCCACACCGCTAGAACAGCTGTTCCCTTCATCGCTTTCTCCACCTCCTTCAATTTCAGGCAGCTCGCCGTGGTTTGGCACTCAATGTTACCAAATTTCAGCTACTATGTCTCAACCCCAGCTCCCCCTATGCAGCCTTCAGCCCTACCTCTCGGTTAACTTGCCCTGTGGAGGCAACATTGGACAATTCACCCCTGCGCTTGAGAGCTGGGCATTAAAGCCCAGTGGTGCTTTTTGACGGTGCAACTTGGAGCTTCGTATGTGGTGACTACTGACTCCCTAGGAAGGCGTAGGACGTAGGACTGGTGTGTGCGCAGTGAGCAGCTCTGTGAGTGTACCAGGGATTTTGCTTCAGGGTTGTCCTCAACTCCCCTTTGGCTTTGCTGCGCATCCCCAACATATGTTTGGAGGCAGGAGGACCGGGAATGGTTTTGCCGATCACTTTCGACAACAACCAGCATCACCGGGATGCTAACGTTCAAAACCACTTGCAGACCTGCACACGATCCTCATCACCATCAGCAGGGTGAATTGGGGTGAAATGGGTTCGGGATTCAGCCAGAGATCACCAACAATCGAGATCTTAATTAGTAGACCGAAGCAGGACCGAGGTCTCAATACAAGACCGAAAGGAAAACAAGCGACATCTTGGCACGAATCCAATGCATGCACTTTTGGATGTTGAACGCCTACCGATTAGAAACTGAGATTTGAAGCCTGCTCACACCTTAGTAGTGCCTGAACATAGGTTTCAACAGGGGGGGCTGGTTAAGGGGAAGGGGGTACAGTGTCCGTGAAAACTTCAAACCACGTTCTTGGCCCACGCAGGCACACCGCTAGTGAAATCATTGTATTGTGTGTCTTGTTTTGACCATTGAACAATACGTGAACTACTCTTGAACCGAAGAAAAAGACGACCAAATTAGCGTCGCAAGCGACGAGCAACTCAGCGTCACAAGCGAACGCCTCACCTTAAATGCCATGGCGTTTTCCTTGCTTCCGATTCTTCCTCGTCCGCCGATGTCAATGCCAGTCACTCTCAGGCCTTTGGCGCGTTCCGGTGTTTGTCCTGTGCTTACCAGGCTTACCAACCGGCACATTTCCCTTTCCCGTCTTCAGGTTTACCAGATTGTCCTAGCTATATATCTGTGCTCCGAATCTCAAGTCTACAAGGCTCTCCCAAGGGCTCTCCACCAAATCACTGCCCTCAACACCATGCTCCAATGCGCCATCCTGCGCCACATCCTGCGCCACTCATTTCGACGCGTCTCTTCTCCTCGGCATTGTGGTACTCCACGTGTCCAGTGATCTGAACTTGCGTTGACTGAAGCCTACCATAGGCATCGCTTGCACGACTTGCTGCAGCGCCCTCTGCATACTGAGATACACCATCCAAAGTATCGCACAGCAGCTGCTTCCACAAAGAGTACCAAGGCCCCTCCATGCCCACTTGGTCTGATACAGTAACACTATTCACTGTTCAGTATTGCTCTATCGCTCCCCTCGCGCAAGACAAACATACTTGGCTTAAACTTGCTCACCCCCATGTGCCCTGGGCCCTGAACATAGCTCAGTGAGGCTCAGTGTGCTGCTGTCATGTAGTCCCTCGGATTCCGTTACGTATTTGAAATAGCAAAAAAGTCGTCTACAAGATCCCATACCCGCAGTGGACATGCTCTTCACCGACAAACCAAGACTGCCAAGGAGGGCAGTTAGTATCCCAAGCCTTCTTTGAGACAGACTAAACTTATTAAACAATGCATTGTTCGAAGTGATACCTGTGGTAGGAAACCACTGGGTGTGATTCTAGTTGGGAAGCCCCAAGGATTTGGCAAAGTGAAGAAAATTAGTCTCCAAATCAGATCGGGGAGTATCCCAATTTTAGCGCAAACCCAACTGACCCGTATCTTGTAAGAACACTTACAAACCTGACAAATCCAATCCCAGACCAGCGAATTTTGCCGTCAATTTGCCTATCTCCAAGAATACCATTGGGCTCTCTGCTTCTTCCAAGGCTTCCTGAGCGAGGTTGGACTTGCATCTGACCGTTCTGCACAGCAATCAACATCTGCACAGCAAGCAAACAAAAAAGGGTAGAATTGCACATGCACTGGAATCAGCGAGGACATGCCAGGACTCTTGTTCAAAAGAAATCCTGCGCAATCTGAAACGAGGAAACTCGTGGTTACTTTACTGTACAGCAATGGAATCCCAGGTGGCCCTGGATTTCCTGCTGTAGAGGGACGACCGAGTGATTTCAACAGCTGACAAACGACCCACGAGAGGTTGCCCACGGTCTTGTGCAGGATCTGAAGCGAAGATCTAATATGAGCTCACTGATTCAGGGTGTTGGGGGTACGAACAGTTCGTGTAACATACTGAGACTAAGGCCTTCAACAATATGGTGTTCACGCAATGCCACCGAAAGATGAAACACTGATCTGATAGAAGGGGAGACCCGGAGATGGATTATGAGTGAGAATCGGATTGAGGAATTTATCTGGGTTTAGCTGATCTGAATGGAAAGGGGACGACCTTCAATACTGAGTGGTACCTTCCTGCATGGTTTTGACAAGTACAGTGGACACACTAGACCAAAGGCCGGCCATGCAGTATGTCATGCGTGCGCCAAACCAGGCATACTCACCCACGATACTTGAACAAAAGCTGTGGTTGGTTTTGACACATCCCAGATGACACAAGCATGTACTAGGCCATCGCTAGTAGGTTGGAGGCCATCGCTAGTAGGTTGGAGGCCATCACTATTAGGTTAGTAGCTGTCTCTTCCTTACTGAACTAAAATCCAACGTACTCATCCCAGCATCCATGCCGGCGGTGAAGCGCACAGCCGAGCTCACATGGTCGACCCAGTACTTCACCTGTGACTGGAGACCCTAACTAAGTCAAAAGGTCGGGCTTCATTTCAACTTTATTGGACTACCTAGCCTAGAGCTCCAACAACTTCCTCAGATCTATAAGCGTTGTTCAATGACGGAGAATCGCAATTTTTGTTAATTTGTACATCTGATAGAACATGACAAACAGCTGCAAGAAACTGCATTAAGGAAAGGTATGCTTAGTTTTGTTCCCAACTGATCGCTTGCAAATGAATAGGCACAGTTGATGCTAGTGTCACCACCGCGCGCCGCAAGCCCCAATAAATTTGACAACACAACATGCCCAAAGCAGGGATAGTCTCAAAGCTCCCTTCGGAGCTCGGTGCCACTTCTTCGGTGCCTCTTCTTTGATTTTCGTGGATTGTGTAATGGTTTTATTGGAATGGACAAGTAAGTTTCATGAAGATTCCTCCAATCCGGGGGTCATGCCATCCCTTTAGCTGTGGGAGATGAGTGAAGATTCATGAAGGAGCACACCTGCAACAAATTTTCGAAACAGTTGGTGGATGCTGGAGGCTTTCTGAGCTAGAATCCTGCTTACTCAACCCATCCTGAGCCACAAATCGCAAGCTTGCACCATGGATCGCGCTTTCTCGCAATCGTGGCCTGAGACAAGTCTTCCGAGGTCGCTGCGCGGCCCAAAAGGGTAGAGAAGAAGGGCACCTTCAACTCGCCGAACGAAGTCACCTGGCAAACTGGCTCAACAAATGGGAATGACATGGAATATATAATTCCGTGCGTCTCTCCCGTTGTGGAGCCACATCTACCTGTTTAGAGTGCGCCTGTGGCACAGTGGGCAGGAGAGGAAAGATGGCTGATGTAAGCAAGTTACATACCGTAGTTCAGTTCATGTCAACTACAGCATGCAAATACACATAACCTCCAACCTATCTTCAACCAACCGTCCACGGCAGTTGTGGATTTGCCATACACAAGGTGGCTTTAGTCTTTGAAACCACTGGTCACCCAGGCTCCAGGCTCCATTGAAATTCCTAGAGACCGACGGACCATGACAGACCGGGCCTTGGCGACCTCTGCTCCAAAGTCGTCCAACATGGGCTGCATCAGCGGCGAATGGAAGGCATGAGACACCGTCCTTGGCCGCTAGGCATCCTACGTCGTAATCTTGAGCTTAATTTCAATTTTGCGATACTTTTACACATGCTATTGCTGCCTTACTTGCTGAAGAACTCCAACTCGTTGGGGTGCCCAAGCCTTTTTACAGTACAGCATCTCCTCCAACAGTGTTGCCCTTGCCGAAGAGGCAAACTGTAGATCTACAGGGCCTCTGGATCCTTCCGTATATGTTTGTATGGTATGGTGGTAGCTGGGATTCACTTGGGGTGTGAATCTGCGAGAGTAGCTTGATTGGGTGTCTATGGAGTTTATGGTGCAGAATCTTGTTGCCTCCCGCTTTTTGCCTCTGCCAAGCGTCAACGGTCGGCTGGTTGCTCCAGAAGTCTCGGCCACCTGGCGTAAAGCGAGGGATGCTGTGGTGTGGAGCTGATAGCTGCTTAAGCGAACAAGCTAGACCCCAAGTGAAATAGAACAGAATTATAAAGCAGTACAGTACGTATATATATATATAAATAACTACAACAGTTGCTGTGTTCTTCCTACTGTATGGAAAAGGATTTCCGCCGAAACGATGATGATTTTCTGCTGTCGACTTCGCCTATGAAGAACATTCCTCTTCGGATCAGGTTCCACAATTTAATGATCTTTTGAGGGTCCAGCAATTTGCCATGCATGCTAAATACATATTGAACTGGGTACTCCTTTCTGAGCTTTCCTCTCCAGACCTGCTGATTAAACTGGTGGAGCTTTGGCGCGGAGTTTGGAACCTACAAAGGAGAAACTGAATCCATGATGCTGGGGGAAGCGTAGAGTCATGCTTAGGCTTAAGATGTTCAAGGAAGCATACTTCCCTCCAGTCGAACTCCATGTCAGCTGGCTCGAGTAGAGGTACTGGAATTTGACATATATTGATCCTTCCAATGTTTGTTTACAGGTCTCAAAATACAAACTGGCGTATCATGCACTCCACAAACACTTGGTATTTCGTCCCAGTTCCCGCTTTGGCCTTCTGCACGGCCTCCTTACGGCCGCTGATCACCGTCATCTTGGGCCCGTTCACCGCGGCGATGGCCACGTCACTGGTGGCCACCTTGGAGGCTGCGATGGCCTTCTTCACGTCCTATGGCGGGAGCAGGACTCTTCGAAAAGGGGGGGGGAAGGGCGGGTTGGAGCTGAGGATCATACTTGTGGCAAGGTGAGTTGGTTTCAACGTGAGTCGACCTCTTGGTAGAGCATTTCTCAACCAAGCCATCTTCAAACATCTGCTTGTGCTCTTTTGGAGGAGGATGTTTTGTTGGGGCAACCAAACGGAATCCACGAAATGCGTGTTGCACTAATTACACTTGGGGGGTGACGCAAAGCGAGTAGCAAATGGGAGCCCACACCTCTCGAAAGCAATCCTTTTTCCCGAAAGCATTGCGAAGGGTTCTTCCGGAAAACCCCTTGAACACTGACACTTCGACACTTACACTTACACACTGACACTTCTACCACGCTTGCGCTACAACATGATCGGTATACGTACCCCAGTGTAAGTGGAAGAGCGAAGTGCAAAGTATGCAAGTGTCAAAGTATGCAAGTGTAAGTATGCAAGCATGCAATGAGTAAGCAAGCATGTAAAATGAGTATGCAAGCATGTAATGAGTATGCAAGCATGCAATGAGTAGGCAAAGCATGTAATGAGTAGGCAAGTGTGAGAGTAGGCAAGTGTGAGCATGGAAAACTAGCACGGGAGATGTCCTAATGAAAAAACATTTCCCCACTTTATAAATTCTCTCTTAAAGGCGGAGGGTGGGACGAACAGCGTCAACCGAAAGTGGAACCCTCTGCGGAGATCGTGCGTGTCGAGTGCGCGAAATGCAGGCGAGAGTGCGATTTGCCGGGTGCGCGCGCAACCCTCTGCGGAGATCGTGCGTGTCGAATGCGCGAAATGCAGGCGAGAGTGCGATTTGCCGGGCGCGCGCGCAACCCTCTGCGGAGATCGTGTGTGTCGAATGCGCGAAATGCAGGCGAGAGTGCCGTTCGTCCGGTGCGCGCGCAACCCTCTGCGGAGATCGTGCGTGTCGAGTGCGCCAAATGCAGGCGAGAGCGCCACTCGTCCGGTGCGCGCGCAACCCTCTGCGGAGATCGTGCGTGTCGAGTGAACAAAATGCAGGCGAGAGTGCGATTTGCGCGGTGCGCGCGCAACCCCCTGCGGAGATCGTACGTGTCGAGTGCGCAAAATGCAGGCGAGAGTGCGATTTGCGCGGTGCGCGCGCAACCCTCTGCGGAGATCGTGCGTGTCGAGTGCGCCAAATGCGGGCGAGAGCGCGATTTGCGCGGTGCGCGCGATGCAGGCGAGAGTGTGACTTGTTCGGCGCGCGCGCAACCCTCTGCGGAGATCGTGCGTGTCGAGTGCGCGAGATGCAGGCGAGAGTGCGATTTATCCTGCACGCGCGCAAACCTCTGCGGAGATTGTGCCTTTCTAGTACAACTTTAGTGCGCGGAGCAATCTGTGGAGCTGGAAGCTGAGAAAACTGGCGACTTCGTAGTACAACTTTAGTACGCGGACTTTGGGGAGCTGGAAGATGAGAACTGGCGACTTGGTAGTACAACGTTAGTGCGCGGAGTAGCTGGGGAGTGGGAAGATGAGGACTGGCGACTTTGTAGTACAACTTTAGTACGTGGAGTGTCCGGCGAGGTGGAAGATGAGAACTGGTGACTTTGTAGTACAACTTCAGTACGCGGACTAGTTAGGGAGCTGGAAGATGAGAACTGGCGACTTTGTAGTACAATTGTAGTACGCGGAGTAGCTGGGGAGCTGGAAGATGAGAACTGGCGACTTTGTAAGCTGAGAAGTGGCGACTTTGTAGTACAACTTGAGTACCCGGAGTCGCTGTGGAGCTGGAAGCTGAGAACTGGCGACTTTGTAGTACAACCGTAGTACGCGGAGTAGCTGGGGAGCTGGAAGATGAGAGCTGGTGACTTGGTAGTACAATTTAGTACGCGGAGTATCTGGCGAGGTGGAAGATGAGAACTGGTGACTTTGTAGTACAACTTTAGTACGCGGACTAGTTGGGGAGCTGGAAGATGAGAACTGGCGACTTTGTAGTACAATTGTAGTACGCGGAGTAGCTGGGGAGCTGGAAGCTGAGAACTGGCGACTTTGTAGTACAACTTGAGTACGCGGAGTATCTGGGGAGCTGGAAGATGAGAACTGGCGACTTGGTAGTACCACTCTAGTGCGCGGAGTATCGGGGGAGCTGGAAGATGAGAACTGGCGACTTGGTAGTACAACTCCAGTACGCGGAGGTGACTTGCGAGAGGTCAAGAACTTGCAGAAAGAAGGTGTTCCTGCGCATCAGAAAGACATACAGAGACACATACACACACAGACATAGATACACACACAGAGACCCACACACTGCCTCAACACACTCGACTTAACACTTCACACTGAACACTTGACACATAACTCACACTCTAACTTCACACGTGATGAAAAATGCTTTCGGGCCACTCGTCGTCTAGTTTAAATTTTGTCACCACTGATAAACATTGATAAAACAATTTGATCGTCCAGCCTCATCCAACCTTTGATTTTTGGTTCATTGCGCAAATCTACCTGTTCCATGAGTACGAGATAGTACGAGTATGTCGTGTATAGTCTACAGTGTATCGGAACACTACCACAAGGTTGGAATCACTGACCTGGGCTTGAAAGTCACAACTAGGCTTAGAAGTCATAGGTAGAAAATGAAGTCCACATACATGCAAGTCCAGCGCCTTCAACAAAAGTTACAAAAGCACAGCACGCTCCTAGCGGCATTTCAAGAAATCCTGCGCATAACAAGGAAATCCGGATGGCCAACGGCAGCTGCACGCAGGAGATCTTGCTACTCTTCCCTTCCCCTATACTCTCCTATTTCTTCTTGACCACCCATCACATACCTCTGGTGAAGCCCCCCCAGTGCCAAATAGTCCACGTCCTGTTCTGGAGCGAAGAGTGCCGACATGGTGCCGACCTGGAAGGGAAAATGGTGACGATCATAATCGGAAGGATCCAAATGGGTTCCTGGCCCCATTTTGGTCTATGAGTCATTGTGAGTCTATGTTTCACCAGGAAGGAGTCTCCCTACCCCTGGGGTACGGTACAGTAGTTTGCAAGGTTATCCCTGTCCAGTTGAGAAGCAGGATTTCCGGACAACCAAAAGTGCAAGATCCCATCCCAATGCCAAGGCAAATTGTGGTCCGAACATACCTCGCAGCAAGGGGTCCGGAGACCAGAAAGGTTCTGGCCCGACGAACCCGCAGGTCAATTTCATCAGAGATGGGTATATATATATATACCTGCACGCAAACATAGCAATCCAAAGATCCACTTGGAAAAGTAACTTCCTTTCCGACAATCTTTCGGAATGAGGGCTCATCCAAAGAGCTCTGGTAAACCATCAGGACATATCGGGACCATTTCTTTCCATGCTCAGTTGAGGTTTGATGATCATTCACTGCTTGTGATAGCTACACAATTAGTTCCCAATGACTTTTGCTTGGTTGATCCACCCGATCAGGTACTTCCTGATATAGAACAAATGCATCTATATAAGTAGGTACTTGGTAGACACCGATTCACTAACATGTAGAGAAACCTTTCCGGAAACGATCCTATCATTCCTTAATTCTGCACAAATGTTGCTGAGATGTTTCATTCTACTCATTTACCAACAAGTTGCTGGTTCCAGCGGGATCAATCCCACTGTGGCTGTAAAAGTAGAACTATCATGAACTATCATGAAATAGCAATGGTTTCGATAGGTTGGCATGTTTTCCCGTTTAAAGGGCAAGTAACCAAGAATCCAGGTTCCCTGTCGGAGAGTCCGTACAGATGATCGTGTGAAAAAAGAATGTTACAGATCTGTGCACCACTCCACGGAGCCCTTGAGAAAGAGCTATTAGTAACAAGTGCATCGCTACTAGTAGCTATAGAAGCTAATTGATTTTAGTTACTCCACGGAGCCCTTGAGAAAGAGCAGACCATCTGCGCACCTCGGCCTCGCACTTCTCAGCAATGAGCCGCCCACGGAGGGCAATGAGGCGACAGGCGTCCTCCAAAGAGAGCACCTCGGGCGACGTGAGGCATGGGGACGATGGAGGAGTGCTAAGCTGCTAAACCACTTCACAAAGCACAATGGGATAGAGTATGGAACATCCGCAGGCAGCTCACAGTTCCCCAAGTTCTCCAGAACCAGAGTGTTTAGCTTGAAACAGATTTGTTATAAGCAAACTATGCACCTTCAGACTCAAAATGCTTGCCTGGGACGTGAAAAGACACCAAATTTCCTGATGTTACAGCGGCATGGCCCCACGGTCCTTTTTGCTTCTACGCTCCAGGCTATCGCACAGAATGCACGCCGAGCAAGTCTCAGGCGTTGTCTTGCGCTCCGGCCATGCTGACGCCCACAGAAGATTGGTCACATTGAGGGCGAAAGAGTGGCATCAAATACCTGCCAACTCCGATCATGTCAGGAGTGAAACTCACTCAACTCATGTTTAGATCTAGATGATGTCGATTGTGGATGCTGAATCAGTTGACCAATATACAAGAGGGATGGGACACAGCAATTGTGAAGAGACAATGCTAGGGGTCATCGCACAAAGAGCTCGCACGAAGCTTCCCTGCCCTAGAAATCTAGAAACCAAATCATTAGTGCGAGCGCTTCTTCAAGGAGGGAGCTTCCTTGAAGAAGCGTGAGCTATCCTGCGTCCATATGTAGAGCGTCCTAGTAGCTTGGAGCGATCAAGTTTGTCCTTACTTAATTTAGTAGGCACCTACTTAATTAAGTAGGAGCGGGCTAAACTAAACAAAGGACAAAAAGGACCCCACAAAGCACGCCAAAGCAACCCCTTAGGCCCTACCAAACTGGGGCCTCTGGTCGAAGTTCTGCCAACGCCCCGCCAGTTCCCTTCGCAGCTGTCGGGTGAAGTGGTCACCTGAGACTGGGGAGTCCTGGTCGGGGCGTGGCTCCAGCTTCAGCAGTCGCATCCTTGGCTTTGGCTGAGAAACCAGTCACACTTCCTGGAACCTCAGCCCCACACAGACAAAGAAAAGGATAGAAAAGGTCTCTCTCTCTATCTCTATATATATATATACAAAATACAACTCAAACAATGTATATAGGAGTTCAAACCTGGGAGGCGTTTGTTAACAAACCACAATTGGTAGAGTTTGAGGGCTCATCCAACCCAATACATAGGAACATATAGGAACTAGTGCTGTCATGTGCCATCCACGTGTTCAGCCTGGTGTGACTCCTGGGAATACTACTGGCAAACAAAAGGTTGTAAACCTCTACAAAGCCTTTGGATGGATTTGGAGCAGAAAGCAACAACAAATAGCTCATGACGGGTAGATCATCACAGAATCATCACACAACCAGACGAGCCTCCCTCCTTACTCTAACATGCTCAACACGCCCTCAACACTCCCAACGCTAACTCATCACCGAGCTTCACCACGGGAAACATTCCACCGAACACCAAGCAGTTCACCAGCACAATGCCCAAAACGGTGGTCACCATGATTCTATCCACATGGGACTGGTCGTCCTCCGGGGGCACCGCTCGTAGGATCAAGGCGTAGGCAATGGTGCCACGCATGCAGCCAGCCATCGCCACCATACCTTGGCAAAAGACCGGTTTGTTGGACCCTGTCCAAGGGTGTTCCAGTCTACAAGTTGTAGGGGTGGTTCAGTGGTTCGCAGTGAAAGCTCGTGGGCTGGTTTCTTGTCTCCTGTTATATGATAGTTATATTGGTTGGATTTCCACTGAAACATCAAAGGTAGCAACTCTTTGGCTGGAGTACCTCCTCTCCCTCTTCTTCTTCTTCTTCTTCTTCTTCAACCGCCTTCGTGCTCAGCGTGAACACCTCTTGGTAGAAGTTTAGCAGGAATGCATGTGCAGAAGTATCGCAAAACATAGATTATCCAAATTTGTATAATGCAGCAGGACGGTTTTAAATATGATCCTTTGCCAAGGTGGACATGATCAGGATTAGAGTAGTGGGATTTGCAGTCAAACACCAATTTTCGTTTTATAGCTCACTATGCGCTCGCCCGTTCACCGTTTGAACGTCATGGAGGGTAGTTTCTTAAACGGAAAGACCACTGTGGGCTCAGTCGTGGTGGTTGCAATCTGAGTCACCAAAAAACACACCCAGTTGCTGGAAAAATATGGAAACATATTTATTACTAGTTTAGTTGAGCACTTGCAAAAAAAGAAAGTGACAATCGCGCTTTACCTGCCGGCTTCACCTGAATTATATATGGTTTGTCAGGCCATAGCGAACAGCCTCTCCATGCAAACCATAGCAGAACGACTGCTCACAGTTCTGGCATGCGGACATGGAGATCCACCCCGATCTCAAAACACCGGTGAACTCGCTCAAGTGTTGATGAAAGATGATGAAAGACATCCTGCACCCCTTCAGATGCTTGTATGGAACACCACGGTCTGTATACGGCCTCTTGGTGTTGAACTCGGCGGGGTGATGGCTGGTATGGTGTGTTTTTCTTTCACCTTCGATCCAGGTGGTGCCTTCGCCCAAGGTGCACAGCTCCTTGGGGCTCAGGGCCAGGCGCTGACCACATTTCAGCAATCGCATGGACAAGGCCATCAGACTCACGGCCACCACACGTGCACCCACGATGCAAATGATGTAGTAGAAGATCAACCGGAACTCGAAACCTCAGAGATCTACATCAAGCAAAGACCAGATCATCAACTATCAGATCAAAACTGGCCACATGAGGCCACCATAGTGAGACCAGTTGTCCTTTTTATTGCGGGCCATCCCCACTTCCACCAAAAACAACCCGGTCTCTTCATCTCTCTTCCTAGTATGCCACTGCAGGGTTCCACTTCTTCGCGGGAAACCCAACAGAAGCATAGGACAACCACAAAAACATAGCAGTTCCACCCATTAAACTGTTCCACTTGTTTCTATAGGAACTTCAATTCACTGCTTCCGTGCAAATGAAAATCTCTACCGACCTTCGACCTACACTGTGCGGTTGCATTTGAGAATTCCCAATGTCCTGCTTCTTCATCGTTTTCCTCCGACCAAATGATCAGCTTTATAGGCCCAGATACCCACTGCATGCGCCTCAGAGGTGTAAGAGACAGCCGTGAGGCCGAAGTAGCCGAAAACAATGCCTGAGCGCGGTCGGGATCCGGGGAGATCTCCGATGGATGTTGCGGATGCAAAGAAAACCGACGGTAAAGGGCCTCTTTGACAGTTGAGGAGAATGAAATGAGGCTCACTTAATGGGGCCTTGTTGAACCTCTTTACCTTTTTTTAAAGTTATATAATGTTTTTCCATTAATTGTCTTTAGTTAAGAAACACCCGTCTGGCGTGGTGACCTTGGTTGGCTGACTCCCCGCATGTCAATGACACAAAAGAGACCAAAATTATCACCAAACCCATAGGAGACGTGCCTGACTTACCCACCACCAAAATAAATAAAGCAGAACCTGCGGTCCCCATTGGGGGATGGTTTCATGGGTTTGAACAGTGGCTCTCGGTCAACTGTGTACGGGTCACCCATGTCACTTCCTGCTGCACATACCACCTGCAAGCGCGCCGCATCCATTTGCCGCCGGGGTGCTTTCAGCGGTGTAGGCCATGAGCTCGGCCAGCTCGCTGGTGAAGCTCTGCGCTTCCGACGACATGCCATACCTGCACGCCAAGCGAGTGAGGAGCGACCCCAGTGGATGAGTGGAAGGGACAAATGAGCTTGGCGGTCAGTTCGTCCGGGGGTGCTATCCAACCAACCTGTCCGGAGATCAAAATTCGGATCTTTTGTTTAAGTGTTTGAGTTGAGCAACCAAAGCGAATCGTTGTGCGTTTTGGGAATGGGACTATGTGGAGGACTGCACGCATCCCCATGATCAAAGGGAGGTTGTCCATGGAAGCGTACACAGGTGACTCAAGTCTTATATTTGGCAAAGACCCCAATTTTGTAGGCGATCGTGTTCCATCGTCCAATGCTGCAGTTCTTATCTGGTGCCAAATGCTATAGACAGTCATCTAGTAAACACATAACATACCATTGGAACTTTCACACAGATTCTATGATACAACTGCCTGGACCCTCCGTATGGGGTGTCTAATGGAAGCCCAGTCTAGTGGTTTATGCTAGTCACTTTTAGCCACTCTGCTAGCTAGTCCAAACAGGTGGCCCAAATCACGCATGGTGGCAGCCAAACATCCGTCAAACCGACCCAGTCGGATCATCCCAGTTCCCACGACAGTGGACCACCCATCCGGTGGGCAACTGGCGACTAGTTTCATCCGAACCACTGGGCGTAGTGGCCGCTGAGAACAGAGGAGACGAATAAAGCGAAGATTGAACTGTACTCACAAATCTCCGTGAGGATGTAACCTCACGGTTTGCAAACGAGTGAACTGTGACACAATACTGGCAATACAACAACTCCCAACAGGACAGCATGAAGTGCCGAACAATAGGCTCATCTTCCGATCTCAGGTGGCGTCCTCGACTTCTACGTGTAACAGATTCCTGTACAGTATATGTTATTTCGCTGCCAGGGCACGGTTTTGAGTCATTTTGCTCGAGAGCTAAATTATCAAGGGTCAGGATTCACTGGGCTGCGAAGGATGCCCAATTGCCACCCAGAGTTGCCGATGCATACCCTGCTACTGTAGAACATGTTGAGCTACAAAGCCTCTTATATCACCAAAACAAGAAGCCAAAAAGACACCACAAATTGAAGGGAACCTCTCGAAACCAATGAACAATGAGTTCTACAGTGCATAATAAATATGTAAGATAGTCAATATACATATCAACATATTATACATATTATATATATATGTTTGTCTGCGTTTATATATAGCGGTCTCTGTGGGGCTGCTTGATGCAAAAAAACAGGTTTGCAGGATGGTTCTGCACGTTCTTCCATGGTTTTAGTCCATTGGAACGGTTTTGACGTGAAATGAACAAGGCAAGTTCGCACATGTCTTGGGTTCTGACCCGCCTTGAGACCCACGAACGAAAGAAATGGAAAGGGGCAAGTAGCTAGACAACACCAGGTCGTGCGC